TCTGTGTCTGTAAAGATATGTTACTATCTATCTGCCTGTGTCTGTAGAGATATGTTACTATCTATCTGCCTGTGTCTGTAGAGATATGTTACTATCTATCTACCCGTGTCTCTATACATGTCTATTTATGTGTGTGTGCATAGATGTGTTTCTGTCTATTTATCTGTGTCTGTATAGATGTGTTTTTATCTACCTGTTTCTGTATTAATATGTTTCTATCTACCTACCTGTGTCTAATAGTTGTGTTTATATGTATAAATAAAGAATATTTTATCTTGCGATATTTCTAAATACAGAACATTAGAAAAAAAAATAGCTACGTTCTCCACTTTTGGTGTATTTCCCGAAAATGCTGCAAATAATAAAACGATACAAAGCATCAAAAAACTTTCCTGGACTAAATTCTTAGTTTTTATGTAATATTATGGATATATCATTAACCAAAAACAGAGAAACATTCTGGTTTAAAACATTTCTTTTTCTTGAGACCTAATTTATATGATTATTAATATAAAAGACAATTTTGACCCCCCCCCCTCCAGTGGCTCAGCAGTAAGTCTTTAGGCTTATAACGCTAAAATCCGGATTCGATACCTGTGGTGGTTAAAGCACAGATAGCCCATTGTGTAGCTTTGTGCTTAATAATAAATAAATTTAAAAAATAAAATAATAATAACGCCACTAACATTTTATCTTAATTTCATTTCATTTCAGGTGTTTTTCATGAATTTTAAGTCGCGAAATTCAACTGATATCGCTGTTACCACTATGCTGTACAATTTAACGAGCTATAATGTCACTAAATTGGTATTTTAACTCTCTAGTATTCACAAACTGGTTCTTTCAAAATGTATTATAACATTGTTGAAAGTTGATTAATTTTAGATCCGACAGCTCCAAGGTATAACTCTAATGAATTTATTGCGTTTCAGAAGTAATTTACTTCACACAAAACTAACGTCTTTAATCAAGAATGTAAGTGTTTAAGACGTGTATGTAATATATTTGAACATATTCTTCGTTTTGTTGTGCAACCAAAACTTACTCACTGACAAAGAAAGAAGAAATGGATTTTGTTTGTAATTAAGCACAAAATTACACAATGGGCTATCTGTGCTCTGCCCACCACGGGTATAAGAACCCGGATTCTAGCGTTGTAAGTCCGCAGACATACCGCTGTGCCACTGGGGGACGAAGAAATGGAACAACTTTTCTCTTTCAACATTTGGAACACGTTCTGTTGCCATTTGGGAAAATCTCAATGAAATGGAGATAACCACTCTGAAACTGATGAACAGTTCTTGAATTTCGGAATAAAAAAAAAAGAATAACGATATCCAAATACAATGGAGAAATTTTTAACCATTTAGGATAAAAAAGTGACTGTTTAAATTTAATGAATAATGGTATTTCAACGTAAATTATACGTAGTTGAAAATAGGTGTAGCTAATAAAATTAAAAGTTAGTTCTATGATGATTTAGTTAAGAAAGACACGTTGAAGTCATTCTAGTTGAGAGTATTACTTTGGGAACGAGATTAAAACAACCGTTTATTATACTCCGTTTACTTTCTTCAGCTCTTTAAATTATGGATTATAGAACAGTTAATTCCCGTATTAATAAATGCATCTTAGTTTAAAACTTGCGGATGAAATTTAAGGAATTATTAAGAACATAAAATATTGGTAATGTTGACTAGCCATGCTAGTTACATAAAATATTGGTAATGTTGGATAGCCATGCTAGTTACATAAAATATTGGTAATGTTGAATAGCCATGCTTGTTACGTAAAATACTGGTAATGTTGAATAGCCATGCTAGTTACATAAAATATTGGTAATGTTGAATAGCCATGCTTGTTACGTAAAATATTGGTAATGTTGAATAGCCAT